TTTGCTGTTGGAAAAGAGCCCCTAAATGTCACGTAACTGGGAAAGTGCCATATATCATGGTCACTGGGGGCTTATGGGATTCCAAAGGGCAAGTGGTTTTCAGCACACCAGCTGCACTGTCATTTCTAAATTCAGACAGGGTGGTACATCTTTTATGAACAGGTCATTTCTTTACCTACTACATTTTTCCTCACTTATATGCCATATTTCCTTCATCTTCAGCTTTCAGTTCAACCCATATGTTTTCAAGGTGGAGTTGCTAGACAACCAATTATCTGCCCTCATAATTAGATTTTCCAACAACATGTACACCTCTCTAGTAGTGTTTTTCACATAAGCTTGTATGTGTGTGTATGTATGTGTGTGTGTATACACACATATACACACACACACACATATATAAATCTAGCTGATTATTTAATTCACTGTTACTTTCCAGGTGAAATTTAAAGTCATCATAGTTTAATCTCTCTGTTTAGACTCATCTTGTTGTTTGTGGGTATTAGGTTAGTTGTTAGCATATAATTTATAGTCATTAAGAATTAGGTGAATAATCTTACCTGATATTTTGAGACTTTGTTCCCAGTACTGGTATTCATTTCATCTGCGTTCTTATTTCCCCAGGTATGTGACTTATGTGATCCTATGAGTATATTATACTATCTCCTTCCCTATCATCCACATCCACACACACCTTTGGGCTTCTATCGATGTCCTTGGTATATTCCAGACAAATAGGAAATTTTATCATTTATCAACATGAGACTTCTCTGAACCTTCTAAGTTACCTGTATTGTCTTTGATTAACTCACTAAGGTAGGAACAGACCTCTGAAGGGGACCCTGAATACATTAGGCTCATCGTGACTTTGTATTGAAGATAAATAATCTTTGTAAGTCACTCACTGTCTCTATGTACACATCTGGTAAAGGGTTTTTTTCTCTTGCCACATACATGAACACATTGTCACATATTTTGTCCTGATAATAATAGAAGTCATTTCAAAATACAGCAAATGATGGCAGTGGTTACACTGTAAATAAGCAGTCAGAGCATGTCTTTTTGAAAAATGAACATGTAAGGAGAGAGTTAACTGGAGGTTGAGAGTGAGTCCTACTTATACCAGGGGCAGCTTTGCATACTGAGAGAAGAGTGGGTATAAAAGCCCACACACATAGGTGGTTTGGTGCTTTTATCCTTGAGGATGTGTTTTACACCAAAACACATGTGTTTTGGTATTACATGGATGTGTTTTTGTATTGAGGATGGGAAAGAAGTGGGTGATATGTTGGATAACACAAGGATCTTTGTAGAAAGGGCTCATATCATCCTTCTGTTGTATAAAAGTGAAGGACAGTAATAACCATTGCATAGATAAAAATGAAATTTGTCATGTCAGATGAACTAAAAGTATTTAAAATTGTATGAATTGTCCTTTTCACCAGGTCACCAAACTCCTTTCCTTGTCTCTCTACCTTTTCTTTTTTGTCCTTCAGTATTGTTCTTGCCCTGTGCTTAATTTATAGCATTAGCATAATTTATTCTTACCTTACTCACTCTGCCCCCTATAACCTTTCCAATCTGGCAGAAATCTGCGAGTCAGAGCAACCTCAGATCAGGACACATAGGAGCAGGGGAATTGTTGTGATGGCTTCAGGAATCTTGGTGAACACAGAGGAGGTGTCCTGCCCATGTGCCTGGAGCTCCTGACAGAACCTCTGATCCTGGACTGTAGGCACAGCTCCTACGAAGCCTGCATCACTGCAAACAACATGAGGTCCATGGTCAGTGAAGAAGGAGAGAGCAGCTGCCCTGTGTACCAAAACCGTTACCAGCCTGCAAACCTGCAGCCTAATTGGCATGTGGCCAACATAGTGGAGACACTTAGGGAGGTCAAGTTGAGCCCAGAGGAGGAGCAAAAGAAAGATCTCTGTGAGCACATGGAGAGAGACTCCTGCTCTTCTGTAAGGAGAATGGGAAGTTCATTTGCTGGCTCTGTGAGAGGTCTCAAGAGCACCAAGATCACCATACTTTCTTCATGGAGGAGGTTACCTGGGAGTACTGGGTAACAGACCAGGATGGGGGAAAGACAGGGCAGAAAATAGTACTTGATGGGAAATCTCTACTTTTGTTACCAAATGGACCTCTTTGGGGACCAAGATACTGTTACAGAAACGACCCTAACCCTAACCCTAACCCCTTCCCCCCACCTCCCTGGATCTTTCTGTTCTAAGTTTGTCCTTGCCCACTGACAGTATAAACTGTGACTCTCAATGCCAGAGTTTGGTGAAAAGGAAAGAAGCTCTTAAATCAAAAGTTACACAGGTTTAGAGTAATGGCAGAATGTCGCACTTAAATTTCAAAGTCACTTTAAAACACCCACAAACACACACAGTCTTGCCTTCCCCCCTTTGCCCAGTAAGACCAGCCTCTAACATGCCAATCAGAAGTACCATCCTCCAGAAGAAAAAAAGAAGTCCATAGCATCATCAGCTGTGTCACTGTGATCTCCAGTTCTTAATCCAAAACCATGTGGCACCTCCTCATGGCCCACCAGCAAGAGTCCTTTCACCCTCTTTTGTCCCACATGGTCTTGCAATGTTCCCCCCGGACCCTCGTGGTAGCCTGCCTTTAGTTTAAATCTCAGCCTGGAACCTCCTCCATGACCCCACTTCCCACTCCTCCCACAATTGGCTACAACTGCTAGCATTCTTCTATTCTCTGTCTTCCTTGGCTGCCATAGTTATTCCTGGCAGGTGTGGCCCTGGGACATGGAGCAAACCATCTCCCAGCTCCTGCACAGGTGCTGTAACTGGGGGAACTGTCTCCCAGTTACAACATGGGTTAAAGTCATGCATACCTTTTTGGCTCCACTCAGACTGGGAGACTAGTCTGCTGTTATTGATATCCAAAACAACCATTTCTGCACATAGATATGAAGCTTGCCTGCCATTATTGATATCCAAAATAACTCTCAATCCTTGTGTTGCTGCTTTTCCCAGCCCCCAAGCTAGACTACTTTGATCACATTTCTTCCTATGCTCACCCTCCTAGGCCCAAAGGACATTTCTGTGCATTCCACACAACTACAAAATGATAAGCAGACTCAAACAATAAGTGGATATTTCTATAGCTTGTGCTAATAGGTGGAAGTTAGGTGCTCAAGCAGAGCTGTCATTGCCCCTTTGAACAGGAGGGGTAAGTGGGCTGCTGGGTGGATTGATGCCTAAATTCTTTCCTTACTACCGGATCAGGTTTCTTCTAGGACAAAGAGAATCAGTCTTCTCCTGACATAGGAATGGTGGCTTCTATCACATGAGTCTTAAAGAACACATTCACCACATCACAGTTCCTTCAAGTCACAGTTTGTTTCACAGTTCCTGTAAACTCTAGTTTCTTCAGAGATCAGCTTGATTTTTTCCTTATTTGTCCTCTATTCCAGTGTTCCCCAGCCTTTTTGGTACCAGGGACCTGTTTTCCCAGGAAGGAGTCAGGGGCAGGGACAGGAAGTGCAGCTCAGGTTGTGGGGATGGAATGGGGGGGGTGAGGGGTGGAGTCGGGGGCGGGGCAGTGGGGAATGGGTTGGTGGGGGCGCAAACTGAGGCAGAGCTCAGGCTAGCTTCACTTGCTGGCCACTGTTTACCTGGTGTGGATGAGGGCAGGGCCATAGGGGGTGGTGTTTGAGACAGGAAGTGGAGCTTAGGAGCTCAAGCCAGCTTCCCAGGAGGGACTCCTGTTCTATTCTGTTGTTGAGAATGACCACAGCTAGATTCTGGTGTGGCTCCTCCCTCACAGGAAAAGTTGCAGGCAGCTCTGGACAGGCTGAGGACTCAGCAGCAGAAAGGTGAGAAGTTGAGCGCTGACATCAGAGAAGAGAGACCTTCCTGGGAGATAGTAGGAGACTTCCTGAGGGAGCTAGACAAGCATCTGGGCAGATCCTTGAGTCTTAGTCCCAAGGAGCTCTTTTCTTTCTGTTATCTGACAGTTGATATGTCCAGTCACTTATTAGGCATTCTTTATCCTTTTTTTGATAGGGGTAGGGCTGAAATAGAACCTGTCACAAATTAACACAGATATTGTTACAGGCTGCAGCCAAGAGGGGGATCCCAAATGGGCATTTGAAATGGGATCCAGAACTCAAGGTGTCCAGGAGATTTTAAGATGTCTTCACCCCTTCCCCCACAGGTGTGAGTTGGGGGGAAGGGGCACACAGAGCAAGAACATGCAGGGCAGCTTTGCAGCTAATCCATGGCATGGTCATTTAACATACCTATAGCCTTTGGCTGGTCGCTTGAATATACTAAATAGCTATGACCATGCTCTGGGCCAGGGGGATGGACAGGGACCCCCCTCAAGATGTGACTGGGGGACAGGTCCCCCAAGTTACAACGCCTGCATGGGAGCTTGAAGATTGGCTCCATGACATGGGGTCACACTTGCCCAGACCCATGATGGTGACCAGAAAAGCTGGAAAGGACAGCAGATTGAGAGCAAGTGTGGCCGAGTGTGGGAGGAGTCGGAAATGGGGCTGCAGAGGAAGATTGGCTCGGGGATTTAAAACCCAGACACGGCAGCCACTGAAGAGAGAAGCACGTGGTTTTGGCTGAGTGGGGACTCCCGTGGCCCTGAGAGAGAGGACCATGTGCCTTTGCCAGAGTGGGGACCCCCACAGCTTTAGAAGGGGGAACCACCTCCCAGTTTTAGCAGAGATCCCAGCGACACAGCTGAGGGTGCCAGGAACCCAGGGAGGTCTCCCTGTGTAGACGGAGTACTAGGAATAACCAGGGACTGCCTGAGCCATGGACTTCTATTTCCTTTCCTGAGATACGGTACTCTGGACTGGGCAAAGGGGGAAGGAAGGACTGTGTCTGTTTGTGGGTGTTTTAAGGGACTTTAGGATTTTGATGAAGACATTAGGTCACTACTTTAAGTCTGCACAGCATTAAATAAACATTTCCTTTCCTTTTCACGAATCTCTGGCATTGAGAGACATCTTTCCTATAGACAGCGGACATAACGGACCTGGGGGTTTTCTTTCGGTAGTAGTATATAGTTCCAGGCTCCCCTTGATTGTTCTGTAACAATATTTGTAGGTTAGTGATTCTCAGAGAGACTCTCTGGTGAGAATGACTAGTGACTTCTGTGTTCCTTTCTGTCATTATTTTGAGCCTTGAACTCTTCCAGGGGAATACAATTTTCTGTGGTTCATGGCTCTGTGCCCCGGTGCTCAAAGTTAGCTGAGGGTGGAGATGGGGGTCAGGAGTAATGCAGGGAAGATTAATTGTTCTGGGCAGCTGTGTTAAAGCTGAACCACACCAGATGTCCTATTTTATTTAGGGTTGGCTTCAATAACGCAGACTTGAGGCCTTTATTTTGGAATGTGCTGGAGAGAAAGTGGTAGGAAAAAGTAGCGTCCCCAAGAATTGCTCTCCTGCTTCCATCTCCCTTCCTTGTGAGAACTACTCCAGGCCTGGAGTAGTTCCAAATCAAATACTTCTTTTTCTGGCTCCCAGTCTCTGCCTAACAGCCTGAGTCCTCTCTCTTTCTGATTCCTGAAAAATCAAATACAAAAATGAGATCCAAAGCATCCCGGATTGTTTTAAACAACTGAGAGGCATCCTGGATACTGAAGAGCAGAAGGAGCTGCAAAAGGTGGTGATGGAGAAGGGAGATATTCTCTGTGTCCTGGAACAGGCTGAGGGTAAGCTGGTCCAGCAGAGCCAGTTTTTGAGGGATCTTATGTCAGAGCTGGAGCATCAGTTGCAGGGGTCAATGATGATGCTGCAGGTAAGACTTGGGAAGAAGCCCCAGCACCTGGAACTGAGGAAACTGAAGACTAAGTTTCCTGTTCTGCTGTGTAGCTGTGCTGTTTCTGGTGGTGACACTGAGGTTCCCATGGTCTTGCAGTAACCTTTTCCTGCATCTATTTCAGAGGTTATAGGAATAATTGAATGCATGAATAATGAGGGAAAACTTGTTTTTATTAACATATCAATTGTAGTGCAAAACTTTGACCTTGGAGAGAAAATTCATTGTTTCTAATTATAGTCTATAGGCCCCTATATGTGATCTAGCCTAGAACAGTTTTCAGAAACCTCGTGTTCCAAGAGTTTTGGTTTTGTTTTTTCCTCATAGAATGAATTGAGGGTTTTTTCTCATTTGTATTTTTTGAATAAGCAATTATGAAAGATTGGTATTATTTATTCTTTAATAATTCAGTAAATTCACCAGTGAAACCATTTCACTCTGGGCCTTTCTTTTTCGGAAGGGTTTAAAATATAAATATATTGTTTTCTTAAGATTTTTAACATTTCTTGAGTCAGATTTTGATAAAATACATCTCTGTAGAAATTTGTCCATTATAAGTTGTGAGATTTGTAAACATGAAATTAGTCATAATAATCCCTTAGAATCTCTTTCATTACTTTTTAATAGAATTTGTTTATTTTTAGGCAGAGGGGAAGGGAGGTAGAAAGAGAGGAAGAGAAATATCAGTGTGTAGTTGCTTCTCACATGCCTGCTACTGGGAATCTGGCCTGCAACCCAGGCATGTGCTCTGATCTCAGAATCAAACAGGCGACACTTTGGTTTGCAGGCTGGTGCTCAATCCATTAAGCCACACAAGCCAGGGCAGAATCTCTTTTATTTTTACAGCACTTACAGTAATGTCCCCTCTTTTATTTCTTATAAGGTGATTTTGTTGTTGTTGTTATTATGTTTGGTTAATTTTATCAATGTTTTTCAAGAATAAACTGAATAGTTTTATTGATTTATCTTTATTTAACCTTCCTATATCATTGATTTCTGCTCTTAATTACATTGTTTCCTTGTGCTAGTGTATATGCACATTTATACATGAGCGTGTGTATGCATGTGTGTGTATTGTATTTAATTTGCTGTTGTTTTTCTAGTTTCTTTTTTTAAGATTTTATTTATTATTTTTAGAGAAGGAAGGGAGGGAGGGGTAGAGAGAGAGAGAGAGAGAGAGAGAGAGAAACATCAATGTGCAGTTGTTGGGGCCCGTGGCCTGCAACCCAGGCATGTACCCTGACTGGGAATCGAACCTGCGACACTTTGGTTCGCAGCCGGCGCTCAATCCACTGAGCTACTCCAGCCAGGACTTGTTTTTCTAGTTTCTTAAAGTGAGAATTTAGACCAGTGATTTGACACAATCTTTTCTGTATAATTTTTAATGATATAAATACATTGTTTTTGCTATATTTTATAATTCTGGATTATTTATTTGTTATTTTGATTCGATCTAACTTATTTTCAAATTTCTTTTGTGATTTGTTTGTTGTTCAACTCTTGGTATCTCTGAAAATAATGTGTAACTACAAACACAGAGTGATTTATACTTCTTCTGAATATTTTAAATTTAATTCCTTTCTAATCAAAAAACATTTATTTTATTATTTCACTTATTAAATGTATTGACACTTGTTTTATAACCTAAAATGTTATATATACAAAGAACTTTATATAAATTTGAAAAGAATGTGTATTGTGCATTCATTGTGTGAAAGGGTCTATAGATGCCATTATACTTTTTTTTCTTCTTCTTAAGACCCTTTTACATTTCTTGTAAAACTTTTTCTTATCTGGGATGCTCCTTGTGTCTCCTTCAATTCTAAATGATAGCTTTGCTGGCTAGAGTAATCTAGGTTGTAGGTCCTTGTTTTTTATCACTTGACTAATGACAATCCCTTCTGGCATGCCAAGTTTACACAGAGAAAACAGCGGATAATGTTATGAAAAACTTTATAGGTAACCAACTGCTTTTTTCTTGCTGCTTTTAAGATTCTCTCTCTGCGTTCTTCACTCAGTCTTTTTTATACTTTCTATCTAATTCATTATGGGTCCTGTCTCTTTATAGAAGTTCTCACTGAGATCATCTGTTCTTTCCCTAAGTTCAGCGAGCCTTCTTATAACAGCAGTTTATAATTCTGCATCTGGCTTCCATTTTGTTTAGTTATTTTTCTGAAGTATTTTCTTGATCTTTCATTCGGGACATGTTTCTTTGTCTTCTCATTTAGCCTGCTTACATATTTTATTTCTATGTATTAGGTATATCTACCATGTCTTCCAGTCTTGGGTGAGTGGCCTTATATAGTAGTATCCTTTGCCATTTTTGTGTTCACATGAGTGAAGAGCTCTAAGGGTGTCCCTAGTGTGGATTGTATGTGTTCTCCTGCTGTAGTTGAGCCTTAATTGCTGTTGGCACATCCATGGCTGGGATTGACCCTCAGGCTGAGTGACTGAGGAATGGCATTACCTCCAGTGAAGAAGCTGACTCCATGGAGTGGGATTCACTTTAGTTGAGCTCATGTGCCTGCTGTGTCCACCCTTTGGGTATGTCATTTGTGGCCCTAATTTGGTGGTACTCTGGTTAGTCTGAAGCTGGACACCAGGTGTATTCATTGTAGTGCTTCTTTGGAGAGGCTCTGGTGTGAGCCATGGTTAGCCACTTCCTTTGTCTGTCAGAGCACCACCTGTTGGGAGCAACAAAGTGATCTGCAGTTGGTGGTTTCTCTGCTGGACTTGGAGATGCTTAGGCTGTTAACCAAGGTCAGCTGCCACTACTGCCACAAATAGAACATGCATTCTATTTTATCATGATCTACTTCAGATTAATAAAAAATTAATTCCACTCTGGGGCCACTTAGCAAGAGGGAAAGGGCGAACTGAGGCCAGCCACTGCTTGTTTGGGGTTTGTGGACCTTTAAGAGATTTTAGGAAAGTTCAGTTTAGACTCAGTCAGAGGCTTAAATTGGGTGCAGTGGAGTCTTAGAGAATCACCAGGATGGGACAAGAGTGGTGTTAGCTTGGTTAATGGACTCAGATTTGGCCCTGGCCTGTGCTGCTGGCTATGCATGGACAGGGTTCCACAAGAGAACCATGGCACCTGCCAGCACTTTAGTCCTTGGGAGAGGTGCCCCATCAAACAATTCAGTTTCTCCCTGTATGTCTCTGGTACTTCTCAAGCTTCTGTCTCTTCTCTAGAACTTAGGACAAGTGTTGTGAGGAAGTGACTCTGTGCTAGAGTCTTTTAAGAAGATGCCTGGTATTTCAGTAGTCCTCCACCTCACCTGGACCGAGTCTGTGCTGGATTTGACAGCCAGATATTGTGGGGACTCCTCTTCCCAGCACTGGCACTCATGGCTGAGGAGCTGGATGTGGGGCTGGGACTTCTCATTTCTCAGGTTATACCTCTGCAGCCAATATATTCCTACTATTTCTTACCCTCCACAGAAGTGTATATTACCACCCAGTTTTGTCTGAGCCCCTCCTACTGATTTGGAGCTGGCTTCTTCTTTACATTTTTCATTATAGGAGTTCTGTTTAGTTCCTGTTCATGTGGTTCTCAAGGGTGGTTATTCTTTAATTTAATTGTAATTTTCATATGGTTGTGGAAGAAGACAATCCAAGCTTTTTCCTGCTCCACCATTTTGACTGGAATTCTGTATTTTTCCTTTTGCCATATTTGTATCTTTGAATCCAAAATATCTCTTGTAGCTAGCAATTGTACAAAAATCTGTAGTACAAAAATCTCTGCCTTTTAATTGGTGGACTAAGACAATAACATTTAATGCAATTGTTGATGTAGCTCTATTTAATTTATATTGTATTATTTGCTTCTATATGTTGCCAGCAATTTCCATTGTTCTTTTCCTCATTGACAAGCTTCTTTTGAGTTCAACAGTTATTTTTAGTATAAAATTTTAAGTTTTAGTATTTCCTATTTTTGTGGTGGTTGCTCTTCTGAATACAACATGCATTCTATTTTATCATGATCTACTTCAGATTAATAAAAAATTAATTCCAGTAAAATTTGGATACTTGCCTCCAATATTTCTTTCTGTGTAACAGCAACAACATGGTGATGCTTTAATATGGGCACTTGATCAAATGCAGGCCAGTGTCATGCAGGCCTTAGAATTATTTGATATAATGGGAAGACAAGTTCTCTTTTTCTCAGGAATTTATGGAAGGAAATTCATGTTTTCTTCATGAACTAAGAAAGAAGTCAATACAGAAAACATAAATATAATTTGGAGAGTGACATAGACCAAATCCTGAAGCCAATGTTTGAGCTTCAAAATTTAGCTTTGATTAAAATTAAAAATTCTCCCTCAAATTCTTTTTTTCTACTTCATCCACTTTTGGTTTTTGTCATACTGCCACAAAGTGCTAATAAAGAGAGCAAAGCAATTGTGGTGTGTGTGTGTGTAAACCCAGCAGTTTGTCTAGTTTATGGTGTTATGGAAGAAGTTGGTTTGAGATAGAGAAAACCAAATATATTGGTACATATGTATTCAAAGAAATAAATCTGTGATGATAAAAAAGTTCAGATGACTAACAACTGTTAACAATGTGGACTAAACTAGCTTGGTAGAGAATGAAATGCAGGTAAATGTTGTAGTGTTTAGGGCAGTGACTAAGGAGATATTAGTAACATGAACAAAGGGGTACAAGGGAGGCAGGAGCAATTTATTTGGTGGAGTAAAGTACATACGAAATATCCTAAGTTACTGGTTCCTGAACCTTCTTTACTAGGGAATGTATTAACCTGCATTTAAGAGACAAAATTGAATAAAAATAAAACTTGGAAATCAATTGCACATGTTGAATTTCAGGAGTGGATGAGGCCAATTATACACAGTGTATCAAATGAGAAGAGACTTGAAACAATCCTACATTAATGCATTTGTTTCTTGTACCCTCAGCAGAAGTTGTGTAAACTTCCTGAGGAATACTCTATTCATCTTTGATTCTTCCAATTATGGCATAATGCTTGACAAGTAATTGTATATCACTTTATATTCATGTTGAATAAATGAACAAGTCATAAATTATTGAAATCATCTCATGAGGAGCCTTATGAACATGGGGAAAATATCATGGGTCTTATGTTTTCTTCCTAAATGCACTTCATGTCCAGGTGCTGGAAGCCTCATGCTGTGGTTCCACAAGGTGAAAGTTTTTTCTACCTTTTAGGAAGCCTGAGGACTTCACATGAGTCTTCTTGAATGATTGACTTAAGTCTTTTCTTTACTTTTTGGTTCTCACTTTGCGACTGTATTTGGGAATAGAGATGTGATGAAGCTTTGTAAGGGAGGATGCTTATTACTTCCTTGATGTGTGTTTTCTCTTTTCTGCCTAGGATGTGAATGGCATCACAGAAGGGTATGTGTGGGAGACCAGAGACGGTCCTTTTGTGCCATGAAAAGAGGTTAAAAGCCATTAAACGTATCTGGTGGTTAATTAGAATAAAATATTGCTCATAGCAGGAAAATTTGGGTGTGGTTTTATCTTAAATTTTTGTTCACATATCACAGTTTGAGTGTTCTCTAACTATTACAAATGGACCAGTTTCTGTGGTGGCAAATTTAGGTTGGGAGCAGGGAGTTGCAGAGTTTGGGTCAGCAGCTATTATGGATAAGATGTTGTAGTGCCAGAGCCATATGAATTCATCAATTTTATTCACCCAGCATTCAAATATTTAACTTAGGTTCCCATTCTTCATAGCTGCTTGATCTATTGTGGGTAAGTTGTGTTTTTTCTATTGCCAGGCACTCAAAATTGGAGAGGACTCTTTTTAAATATAATTCCTCCCTTGGGAATTGAAGAAACAAGGTCCCTTCCATACAGTTCTCTGTATTTTTCAAAAACAGACTTTAATCACAAAGAATATTTTGGCTCTGGTGCCAACAATTGATCCCTCTTGACCATGCACTTTTGAAGCAAGAATGGAAGGGCAGCATCCTTGTGTCTAAATTTTCACATATACATGGCTGCAAGAAACTTTTAAAACACACAGAATTCTGACCACTATTGGCATGGTATTGATAATGTCTTCTTTTCCAAGTGTTACTCTGTTTTCCCAGAGAACCTAAAATCTCAGATTTTGTTCTGAGAGCCTCCCTAGTTCAGAGCAGACTTTAAAGTCTTGATCCTGTCTAAACAGGATTTCCTCGTTTGATATACCTCAAACAACTAGGAGCTAGGTTCTGCAACCTCACTTTCATGTAATATCTCTCCATATCCATTCTGACTTTCCTCACATTATTTTGGAAGCAAAGTTTTCTTTAAAAAATTATTTCATGTAATTCTATATGATTCCAAGAGGTTAGAGAGAGATGGAGATTAGTTTTCATTTTGGAAGGAATAAATTGTGCTTCTGTGAGGTCAAGGCCTTCCTAAGAATACACACTGTGTACTGTAAAGTTAGACATGAATACTTTTCTTTGGCTCCAAGGTCAAGAATCTACTCTCTCCTTTCTCAGGGGTCCATAGAAGGAGGTTCAAGTGCTTAATGGTATGAATAGACAAAATCAGTAGTTGTGCAGAGAGAAAATTCAGAGGTGTGGGGATCGCTTTTTGTCATTTCTAGGAGTAAGACTTTCTCTCTCAAGAAGTCAAAAACTGTCCAAGGAATAGAGGATAGTGTTCCAAGCTCCTGGCCTGAGTGGGATGCTGCAAGTGTTTCATGGTGAGGAATGCTAGAGCTGGTGGGTGGCTGTGGAGGTCTGGCAATGGTGGGAGTAAAAGAGGGAAGAAGGTTCAGTTTGTAGGTGTGAATAGAGGAAACAAAGGAGGAGGGTTATCATGTGCTGTTATGTTATAGTTAATGGGGAGTAACTAGCTGCCTTGTTTGCCTCTCATTATTCCATTTACTACCTCACATAGACCCCAGTCTTTCCCCTGATGTAGAGAGTAAGTAGATTGTAGTGCTGACTCCATTGCTTATATTTATTATTATGAATTTTTATCATTTCAGAGCTCATAGATGTGAGTCAATATCAGGGTAAGTATCATAAAGCCCCTGTCCTCATCTTCTTTCAGAATTTTGTGTTCTTTATTGTCTCTGATTTTGAGACCTACAATTCCTTTCCAACACCACATACATATTATGCTTCAGCAGTGTTATACCTATTACCAAGAATAGAACTAAGTTCTTCCCAGTTTCCACTCATGTTATTCTCAACAGGTATGTCACATCCCTCAAACAACCCTGTAATTTTTCTACAGATCACATTACCCTGTACCCTTCCACGGACAAACGAAATGTTGCCATTTCTGCAAATCGGAGGCAAGTGAGATATGAGCACCATCTCGATGCAAATACGAAGGCTTCTGCTGTACTTGGCTCACTGGTTATCACATCAGGGGAACATTACTGGGAGGTGGATGTGTCAGAGAAACAGGTCTGGTACTTGGGGGTATATGGTAAAAAAGACTCTGATACTTCTAGTGATCAACCTAAACAGTGCCTCTGGGTTATAGGATTAGAGAATTAGTTTGAACGTAATGCTTCCATGGAATTTTCCTCCTCTGATCCCTTGGAATTAGCCCTTAGTCTGACTGTTCCTCCCCATCATGTTGGGGTTTTCCTAGACTACGATCCTGGCACTGTCTCATTTTATAATGTCACAAACCATGGGTCTCTCATCTAGAAATCCTCTTCATGTTCATTTTCTCAGAAAATTGATCCATATTTTAATCCCATGACATGTACTGGCCCCATGACACTGTGTTCTCCAAGCTCTTAAATCTTACACCCTCATCTACTTTGTAGTGCCCCTGGCCTTGAGTGCACCTAACACATTGAGCTTTTCTGCACTATTGTCCCTACTTTTTATTGCTGCCTCTGTTTTTTTTTTCCCATTTCAACATCCTTCATTCAACAATAGAGTTTACAATTTGCTTTGTGTCAAGTATATTTTTCCCAATGTCATGTTTGTATTAGTAAAGAAACTAATTCACTGTTTTTATCATCCCAAAGAAAATGACTAATGCATCATAAAACAAGACCTGTATGGAGGTGACATCTATACCAAATTCTTACAATTTCATTTCCTGTGCACTGAGAAGAAAAAGGAAAGCTCTTCAACAACTTATTTTGTATGTTATTCAAGATTTTGTATAGGAAATACTTACTACAAATGAGTTCTTAGTGATGTGTCAGTTCAACTATGATGTTTCTTCATCAAGGACTGAAGGAGACAGGGTCATAAATAATAGGTACTAAGTGGAAGGTTTGGGTTCACAGTGTCTGAGTCAAGTCCAGTCTCTCCCAATTCATGCAGTGTAACTTTGAATAAGATATTTGAATGCTGGCTTCATTTACTAAAAATTGTCCTGGTATAAAAAACATACCATCATTCGGATCATTATCAAAGAAAAACGTCATTAAGTATAAAACATGTCTAAACCTAATAAACATTTTCTCTACTGATGACTGAGAAATATAATCTGTGCCAGTGTCTCATGAAAGAGGTTTGTGCCTTCAGGGGCACAAGGGTGGTTTTTTCTGAAGTCTCATGTTTCAGGTGCCAGATACCTCTGTGCTGCTGTCCAGATTATTGCAGCTCTGCCTGTGACAGATAACTGTGTGCATGTATGACACTGAGAATTTTATTATAATTCTGGTTTGCTACATATTGGCCTTCATCAAATAATCTCCCTCAATAAATTTTATGGGATTCAGTTTCTCATTAGTGAAACTAACAAAAGTTGCCTGGTTTATTGTGAAAATTAAACAGCAGAATATTTACAGTAACTTCTGTCATTTTTTTTAGCACAAAAGGAGTAATCAAGTATGCTGTCTGTTCACTTTTTGTTCCTGTTTCACTGTGACTGAAATACATAATTTTAAACATACTATTAGTTTATTTTCAACATTATTACTCTTGCTTTACAAAATAAAATCACTTGAAAGAATTATAATTTTCCTTAAATTTTAACAATTGTAAAATAAATGTTTCTACCATTTCTAATGAGTCTTTATTTCTCATTTTTCTGGAGTAATTCTATTTCACTAAAATTGAATTTATATGTTAGCTCTGCTTTAAAACCTTAGTCATAGTGACACAATGAATCAGAAGTACCATTGTGGGATTTTTTAACAATGGTGCAGGGAAGTGTTTTATTGCCCAGGTCGGCTCTACATTTTTAGTGAGTTGAAAGTTCTCAAGAACAAAGAGTAAAGCCTGTTCTTCTTCCAATGAGGTGGGAGGGCAATATGTTCATTTAGAACCTGGGATTACAATGTATTTCTGCATTTTTATTTCCAACTCTTTCCTAATCAATTCAGAGCTAGAAAAAAATGTGCATTTTGGACAAGTATTATCTTCTCTCAGTCCTGATTGTCTCTAGGAATTCCCACCATCCTCACTTTGGATGACCTTTAATGAGACAAAGGATTCCAACCTGGAAATTTCCAGTACCTCTGTATATGCATATGTTTATATCTTAGCACTCATTCATGGAAAATGGGAGAAATTAATCTCTAAAATTCTCCTTTTATCTCTGCCTTCCTTCCACCCTATTGCTACTATGACTGAAGCTCTGACTTTCCAGAAATAATCTGCACTCTTGAATTATGGACAAATGACTCTCCAAGGACATTTATGTCTTTACATTCACTGGAATACACAATTCAGGATGAAGCACTTGTATAAAGAAAGACCTGAACTTTTCTATGCAACAAAAAAGATCTGCACATTTTTTAAAAGTTTTTTAATTGTTCTTCAATTAGAGATGTCCCCATTTCCCCCCTCGTTAGCCTCCCCCTGCCCTACCCACCCCAACCTCCCACATTCAATCCCCCCAACACCCATTGTCTTTGTCCATGAGTCCTTTATACCTGTTCCTTGACTGGACCCTTCTCCTTTCTCCTGTTATCTGCCCTCTTCTCTCCTGGTCACTGTCAGTTTGTTCTGTATTTCCATGTCTTTGGTTCTATTTTGCTCGCTTGTTTGCTTTGTTGATTAGGTTCCACCTATAGGTGAGATCATATGGTATTTGTCTTTCACCACCTGGCTTATTTCACTTACATAATGCTCTCCAGTTCCATCCATGCTGTCACAAAGGATCAGAGCTCTTTCTGCTGTGTAGTATTCCATTGTGTAAATGTACCATAGTTTTTTGATCCATTCATTTACTGATGGACACTCAGGTTGTTTCCAGCACTTGGCTATTGTAAATTGCTCTGCTATGAACATTAGGGTGCATACATTCTTTTGAATTGGTGTTTCAGCATTCTTAGGGTATACTCTCTGCCATGGAATTGTCAGGTCCAAGGCACTAGCATTTTTAGATTTTTGATGGAATTCCATTACTGTTTTCCACAGTGGTTGTACCAGTCTGCACTCCCACCAACAGTGTACTAGGGTTCCCTTTTCTCTACATCCTCTCCAGCAGTTGTTGTTTGTCAATTTGTTTATGATGTCCATTCTTACTGGTATGAAGTGGTATCTCGTGGCTTTAATTTGCATTTTTCTGGTGACTAGTGATGCTGAGTATCCTTTCTTTCATATGTGTCTAGGCCCTCTGGAGGATTGAATATGGAAGGTGAGGGGTGAGCAGGGCAGGAATGAGTAATGGGGGGATGGAGACAACTGTAATTGAACAACAAAAAAAGATGCAAAAAGAAGAGCACTTTTTAATGGAGGAAGTTAGCGAGTTTTTAGGTTAGTGTTAGAGTAATTACATTTGAAACTTTTATGAGCCATGAAGTGAGTAGATATCTAAAAAGCAATTGGATGAAGAATTCAGAATTAGACAGAACTAGTTTTAGATCCTGCATCTATTACCTGTCTTTCAGTAATCTTTTAAGTCACAGTTTTCTCATCTGTGAAATGAATGAACTAATATTGCCTTTTCATAATTATTTTAATAAAAATATTAATGCTCATAAAATACAAACCAAAGATAGTAAAACTTTCTTTGGAGATGCAATTGAAAATAGATACAAAAGATAATCAACTCTATGTAATCAGAACTGGGTAGGAAACAAGTAACCAAGTAAAGGATGCAGAAGAAGAAATTAATAATGTATAGAATCAGGACTGAAGTGTGAAGGAGTAAGTTTGATAGGTGTAGTACAGAGAACTTATAACTACTTAAAAGGAAAGACTATTTTCATTTAACTCAGAAACTGAGAAACACAAGGATGAATTGCATGTTAGGAAATATCTCAAAATCAGCAGTAAGAAAAATGTGAACCTTGGTCTTCTATACCCACCATCCTTTTTCATATAAATGGAAAGAAAACTAAACCAAGAAAACCCTTGATTTTCTATAAGTCTCAAAGATTTTCTTTCTCCCCTCTTCAGTTTCTATTTTGCACATAGGTAAAACTCTAAAATATCAAATTAATAGGAATTACAGCTTTATTTTTATGCCTTCCTGTGTTATATAAAATTTCATCTAATCAATGTTACCTAAATTTCTCCTTCAGTGGCCCTCCCCACTCATGTTTTCTTCAAAGAAAAAAGGAGAATAAATTTGTCCTGAATCTGCTTGGTCTTCACTCCATAAACAACAGGATTGAGAGCAGGCGGAACAGCCACATAGAGATTGGCAAGTAGGATTAGCATGTTTCGAGGGACACTGTGCCCAAAGCGATGAGCAAGGATAGAGAAGAAGGCAGGTGTATAAAATATGAGGATAACACAGACATGAGAGCCGCAGGTGCTGAGGGCCTTTTGGCGGGCACCCTGGGAGGAGAGGTGAAAGACAGCACGGAGGATTAAAGTATAGGAAATAGCAATAAAGATAACATCTGAGATGACAGTCATGAGAGGCACAGCAAATCCGTACCAGATGTTGATGGATATGTCAGCAGAGGAAAGCCGAGCAACCCCTATATGTTCACAGTATGTGTGTGGGATGATACGTGTCCTGCAGAAGGGTAAGCGTTTTAGCAGAAAAACATCTGGCAGGATAACAGAGAAGCTCCTCACAACAATGCTCACCACAAGCTTGATGATCACCTGCGGAGTCAGGATGGCAGTATATCTCAAGGGGAAGCAGATGGCCACATAGCGATCAAATGCCATGACCAACAGAATGGCTGAGTCCACCACAAAGCTGAAGTGGAGGAAGAACATCTGGGTGAGACAACCAGAGAAGGTTATTTCCTGGGAGCCAAGCCAGAGGTTACTGAGCAGTTTGGGCACTGTGGCAGTGGACAAAACAAGGTCTGTGGTAGCCAGCATAGACAAGAAGAAGAACATTGGTTCATGGAGGCTGTGCTCAACAGAAATGAGGTAGAGTAGGATGCAATTGCCCACAATAGCCACAGCATAGATGATACAAAAGGGAATCCCAATCCATATGTGGAATTTCTCCAGGCCAGGTATTCCCACAAGGATAAAGGAACTGGGGTTGTAACAGCTCAGGTTATACATGGTCTCCTCAGTATAGGATCCACTGGCTTTTGATCCCTGAAGACAAATCAGATGTCAGAATGGGCTATGAAAGACAACAGTTCCACCCTGGTACTAGACATGGTTGAAGATTGCAACTGTCACATTAGGGTGCCTACATTCAAAGCACCTCCTGTCCCCTAGATGACCTGGCACCTATAGAATTGACCCATTATTGTCCCCTTTCTTTGAACGTGCCTTTTGCATTGAAAATATCCTTTGATAGTTAATTCCATTGTGTGATCTATTTAATAAGTACTTTTGAGAAGAGAATCAGTAATGGTGGTACCAGGAGTGAAACAATGGAGAAGCCCAGCACAACCTGAGCCATCCTGAGGCCAGTTTTGGAAAGATTTAATTCTTACCCTCCCTACATACTTACAAAGTCATTCAAAAAGCCTTTAGAAAAAGAAAGTAGATTTTTATGGATAAGCTAAAACAGCTCGATATTATTGCATTTGGCAAGAATCTGTAGTTCTGTGTACATGGGGAAAAGACTGGATTGAGACATAGCATTTGTGATATCTTTGCCAGAACCCCAGAGTTTGACATAGTGAGATTCTCTCATTTAGAAAATCCTTCTGTCATTGCCAGAGTCCTTAGTTAGCCAAAGTGAATGAAGCATCAAACTGGGAGGAATGTAACTAGCTCCCACTGTCCAGAGGCAGTCCTCACCCCACCCCCACCCCTTTTTCCTCATCCATAAGAATGTATAGTTTGCTTTATCTCCAGGTTTTGATGTAGACTAAACTCCTACAGGCACTGAGTTTGTTAGAATAATGATAACAGAGTTAATGAAATCCTTCCTAAAATGATTGTGACATCATCTCCTGTGTCATGAAAATCAGATTGAGAAAGTCCAAGGTGTCTCTGTAATTTAGTCTACATTGCAACCCCATCTCTTGGAGCACAGATGCACTGCCTCCTGACAGGAAGCGACTTTTCTCTGGGTCGCTAAGAGTAAATTTAAAGGGGAGAAAAATAAACCACTAATTATTAAAACTACAAAGAGGGTGTCAAATGAAAACATCCTGCTGCCTCAGTCACAACCTATTCTGACCTCAGTTCCTTTACCCCAAAAGCTCTTCTTTTCTGTTGAATTCCCTGCTGCAGTAATGATCACTTTAGTTGGTCTACACTTGAAATCAGCAGCTTTCTACCAGCATCTGTCAACTTATTATGGAATCAGTGCTGTCAGAAGGGCTCCTTCTACTAGAGTCACATTTTCAAGGGCAAAGACCCGACTTGGCTGATGGATAAATGCAAGGCTACCTTATTTAATAAATCATAGAGCCTCTGTAGGGCTTTCCTCTTCCCTGATTGACTGTAGTTCTTTACTCACCAAACGTCTTCTGTCTCCTGCTTTAGGATAGTGGGAATTATCTATTTAAAAGGAAGCAAGTACAATTTTTGGCTGGGAATAGTTCTGTAAGAGGTGAAATAAAAACATTTATGTAGTTTCTTGTATTCCTAAGAGATAGATCATATGGACTTCTCCATTTCCCATTCCCTGACAAGAGATGAAATCAACCACATTAATTCCTTTCC